TGGCTATCATGAAGAAATACCCAATGGTGAATGAAGATATCCTTGTTCCATTCCAGTTAGTGGAACAAGACCAAGCCTTGGGAGGCTCTAAACCAGGGGGAGTTAGATGAGGGGGAATTTCAGCAGGGTTAGCGTTTACTGTTTTCCTTAAAAGGCTAACCTTAAGACTAAAAGCAGAACACGTTGATTACTTGACGGTTAAATAAGGACTCCAAGGTTGGCCACCTCAGATCTGGGGTGGAAGTAAGAGGAAGGCCCTGCTCCCTAAGGAGGTGGGCCAGGTGAGCCTCGGGGCTGCAGTGCAGGGCCAGCAGCTCTGGATGGGCCCAAGGTGGAGAGGCCACTGGGAGAGGGTAATGGCCTGTGTGGTTAGCAGAGACAGGCTAGGGCCAGCGTGATTTCACAAGTAGAATAGTTATAAAATAAAACATTTTTTTAATGGACAAAAAAAGCGGTGAGTCACCTTTTTTTTTAAAAGGTGAAACCTTGCAAAGGAAGATGTGAAGCAGTTTTTTACTATTTACAAAATGCCATTTAGGGCGGAGGTGGCCACTGTCAGCAGTTGAGAAAATGTCTTTCGCGTGAGATGGCCACAGAAGCGTGGTTCCTGGACCTGGCTCAGAAAGGCCACATACTGTCCTGGGTGACGGAGAGTTTCTTTAAGGGAGCACCAAAAAGGCTCAGTCCTCTGTTTCTTCATATGTAGTCTCATCAAAGGGCCGGTCCAGCAGAGGTACCAACCGATGACGGGAATACTTCAGCTGTAACAGGTCCCCAACTTCATCGATCCCCTTTAAAGCCTGAAACATAAAGACAGAGCAGAGGTGAGTCAGAGCCAGTCGGATGCTGGTGGGACTGTTTGTGTCCAGTGCATTTACTTGCGTCGCACTGCAGCTGTGGAAAGAGTTGCTTTTTGAGCAAGGACGTGGGGCTGACCATGAATAATAACTGGGTTGTGAAGAGCAGGTATGCACGATAAAGGGTATAACTCATCAAAGTATGTTATGCTTGGTAGGAAAAGGAATATGTGCCCCCGACTTGCCAGGCCGGCCACAATGTTGTCCACTCTCCTTTTATACTTCAGTGTTTGCTCTTTCCAGTATCGCACTATAGAAAACTAATGAGATGTCTGCGTTAAGATATTTCCCAGATGCAAGATGGAGAATCCCCAAAGTGAACTGCTGCACTAACTCAGTAAGAACAAGTGGGAGCGTGAGGAGGAGACCCTGTGTGGATGATGGACAGGCTGTAGGTGAAGGAGGAGCATAATGTTTTCTAAGTTCACCCATGTTGTAATGTAAGGGTCCGACTTCATCCTTTTGAATGCGGTTATCCAGTTGCCCAGCACCATCTGTTGAAGAAACTAGTCATTCCCCATTGACTACCTTTGGTTCGCTTGCTGAAAACCAATTGGCCAGATGCTTGGGTTTATTTCTGGGCTCTCAATGCTACTCCACTGGTCTACATATATACTCTTATGCTAGAACCCACTGTTTTGGGTTACTATAGCTTTGTAGTAAGTTTTGCAATGAGGAAGTTTTGAGTCCTCCACCTTCCTATCTTTTTTAATACTGTTTTCGCTATAGTTCCACATGTATTTGAGGCTAAGCTTTTCCATTTCTGCAAAAAAAAAAAAAAAAAGGAAGCCATTGGGAATTTGATAGGGACAATATTAAATCTTCCAATCCACAAACACAGGATGTCTTTCCATTTATTTAAGTCTTCTTTCAGCAATGTTTGAATGCCATCATAAATGAAGTTTTCTTAATTTCATTTATTCAGGACCAGTATACAGAAACACTAATTTTTGTGTGTTGATCTTTCATTCTACAAGTTTGCTGTGTATACTTATTAGCTCTATCAGGCTGGGGTTTTTTTTGGTGGATTTTATGGCATTTTCTCTATATAGAATCACATCACAAGGCACATTACTAAATGAAAATTCGTTTGTATCTCATAATGTTTATCTTAAGTTCCATAAAACATCATAAGACAAAATGACTTCAACAAACCTATGATTTCAAAAGATTACTTCATGCTTCAAAAAACTAAATGGAAGGCAAAGTCAAACAATCAAGTAGATCTTATAAAAATGATTAGAATTCTCAATTGGCAATCATATTTGTTGGCAACAGAAATTTGCTTAGATACCTGGTAACATCTAAATTTTTACATGAATGTGTACAGTTCTCAGCAAAGTAGTTAGAACTTCCAGTCAAGATGGCAACGGAGGCCCTGGCTGGTTTTGCTCAGAGCATTGGCCCAAGGACTGAAGGGTTCCGGGTTCAATTCCTGGTCAAGGGCACCTACCTCCATTGCAGGCTCAATCCCTGGCCCCGGTCAGGGAGCATGTGGGAGGCAACAAATTGATGTCTCTCACATTGATGTTTCTCTCTCTGTCTCCCTCCCTTCCACTCTCTCTAGAAAATCAATGGTAAAAATATCCTTGGGTGAGGATTAACAAAAACAAAGCAAACAAACAGAAGGGAGATGTCAGAAATGAAGACTACAGTAACTGAAATGAAGAGTAATATACAGTGAATCAACAGCACAGCAGATAAAACTGAGAATTGAATCAGTGATCTGGAATATGAGGAAGCAAAAACACCCAATCAGAACAGCAAGAAGAAAAAAGAATTTTAAAATACGAGGATAGAGTAAAGAGCCTTAGGACAACTTCAAGCATACCAACATTTACATCATGGAGATGCTGGAAGGAGAAGAGAGGGAACAAGAAAATCGAAAACCTATTTGGAAAAATAATGACAGAAAACTTCCCTTACCTGGTGAAAGAAAGACATACAAGTTCAGTAAGTGCAGAGAGTCCCAAACAAGATGAATCCAAAGAAGCCCACACCAAGACACATCATAATTAAAATGCCAAGGTTAAAGACAAAGAGAGAATCTTAAAAGCAGCAAGAGAAAAGGAATCTGTTGCCTACAAGGGAGCTCCCATAACTCTGTCAGTTGATTTTGAACAGAAACTTTGCAGGCCAGAAGGGAGTGGCAAGAAATATTCAAAGTGATGAAAAGCAAGGACCTACAACCAAGATTACTCTACCCAGTAAAGTTGTTACTTAGAATCAAAGGACAGATAAAGAGTTTCCTAGACAAAAAAAGGCTAAAGGAGTCCATCACCACCAAACTAGTATTACATGAAATGTTAAAGGACCATCTTTAAAAAAGATAAAAAATTTGAACACTAAAATGGCAATAAATACATATAAAAAATTAAAAATAAATAAAAGCCAAAGTCTTTGAAAGGGCCGATAAGGCCCTCAATAATCGATCCCTACCGTCCATTGTTACTTCTCTGCCCTCATCCTTGCATTCTCATACTTGTCAAGCATAATCCTGCCTCAGGGCTTTTTCACTGGCTATTTCCTCTCTCTAGAATGTTCTTTCTCAAGATATCTACTTGGCTAACTCCTTAATTGCTCTCAAGTCTTTGTTTAAATATCACCTCCTCAGTGCAGTCTAGCATCCTCCTGTTTTAAATTCCAACCCCTCTCCACCGATACCCAGCGCGGAGCTGGCGCGCGCCGTCCCGTGCGCAGGCGCGGTGTGTGGCCCACGCACGGGCCTTGTATCAGCGCATCCTGCTGCTGCACCGCTTTCTGCCCCCAGACCTCAAAGCCCTCGGCAACCAGTACGTGAAGGACGAATTCAGGAGACGTAAAACGGTTGGTTCGGACGAGGCCCGACGTTTCTTGGAGGAATGGGAGGCGTATGCAGCAGTGCTATGGCAACAAGCTAATGAAAACAGCCAAAATTCGACTGAAAAAGCATGCTTTGGAACAGCCCTACCAGAAGAAAAACTTAATGACTTTCGTGATGAACAAATAGGACAGCTGCAGGAGCTGATGCAAGAAGCCACTAAACCCAATAGGCAATTTAGTATCACTGAGTCTAGGAAACCAAAATGTTAGTCTATACAGTAAAGCTTAACAAGCATTTACAGTTCAAAACCCCTTATTTTAACTGTCATTGGTTTTAAAATTTTGAGCTTTTAGGCTTTGAAGAGTGCCTGGTGTAATGAAATACATATTTTTTGTTGGGGGATGTTATGAATGCTCACTGCAGTGTATGGATCAGGTCACCAGTGGACGTAACTTTACATGATAGAGGAGTAACAGTACTTGCCAGATGGGATTCAATTATTGGACTAAATAAGGAAGAACAGCTCTAAACAGGACAAACTTGTGGAATTTTGCAAAAAAAATTTATGTATAAATTTGTTTTTAATGCTATTCTTATTTGAGCATTTGCCTCATGGTTTTAGTTTCATCAGATAAGTACATCATGATAATACGGATGTAGAATTTCAGCCAGATTATTTATTTAAATACACTGTCATCTTAAAAGTTAAAAAAAAAAAAAAAAAAATTCCAACCCCTCTCACTCTAAATATCCCTTACTCTGTTTCTATTTTCCTAAAGCACTTATACCCCTCAAATATTAGATAATTTAGTTTATGATTATATTTATTTATTGACAGACTCCTCCCACTAAAATATAAGTTCCACAAGGGCAAAAACAAAACAAAGAAAACTAATTGTTGTTAGAAAACATAATGTATTTCTATAGCCACTGCTTATGAGACAGATACTTTTCAAAGGCATGTAAAAACTCCTAAACATCCAAATAACTGGGTTTAAAAAAATAATTCTCCCTGGCCAGTGTGGCTCAGCTGGTTGAGCGTCACACTGTGAACACCAAAAGGTCGCCTATTAGATCCCTGATTGGGGTGAGTACAAGGAGGCAGCCCATCAATGTTTCTTTCTTGCACTGATGTTTCTCTCTCTCTCTTCCTCCCTCCCTCTCCCTCTCTTTGTCTCTCTTTCAAATCAATAGAGACATTAAAAAAAAAAAATCAATGCAGAAATTCACCAGTAAGATATTTGAGAAATCTATTGGGAAAAATCTGAGAGGCATAATAAAAATTAAAAGAAAAACAAAGATACGGTATGAATAAACTGAATCCAATTTCACAGTGTCAGAATGTAACTAAGAATATACTTATACTTGTAGAAATTTTGCTATGTGGAAATAGGAAGAAAAAATCAGTTCTCAGCTGCGTAGAAATATAAAATTGTCATAATGAACTTTTAAAAACACACGTTTATGATATTTAAGATTAGTAGCCCTGGCTGGTGTGGCTCAGTGTACTGAGTGTTGTCCAAGGGATAGCTGGTTCCATTCCCGGTCAGGACATATGCTGGGCTGCAGGCTTCGTCCCCAGTCGAGGACATGCAGGAGGCAGTCAATGGATGTTTCCATCTCCCTCCCTCTTCCTTCCTCTTTCTCTCTCTCTTCCTCTCCTTTCCTCTCTCTCTAAAATATCAATAAAAACATATTTTTAAAAACTTAGTTAAAAAACAAAGACTAGTAGCTCTCCAACAATTTTATGCAAATATGTTTTAGAGCTCTATTAAACTCTCAGAAAGCAGTAATTACTTATTTTATTAAGAAAAGTGTATTGATTTTTAGAGAGAGGAAGGGAGAGAGAGAGAAAGAGAAAAACATCAATGTGAGGACATAACATCAATCGGCTGCCTCCTGCATGCCCCACAGAGTATCGAGCTTGACACCTGGGCATGTGCCCTGACCGGGAATCCAACTGGCAACCTTTCGGTACACTGGACGATGCCCAACCAATGAGCCACACTGGCCAGGGTGAAAGTGATACTTAAAGTCTGAAGTCTTAGATGTGAAATAATAGCATATTAAGAGAATATTAAGAGGTAATGAGAATATATTAAGAGACCATAAATAATTAAATTCAGTAATACAGTAATTAGGAGCCTCTACAATATGCCTGGCACTGTGCTGGGTCTTGGGGATAGAGAATGAGCAAAACAGATTTAGACTTAGTATCCTCAAGGTTTATCTAATGGAGAATATTGGCATAAATAATGAAAGGTGTGAATAATGCACTAAGGCAAAACCTTAAGATGCCAAGGAAACATCAAGCAAGAGTTTGGGAACAGCCTTGAGCAAGTTTCCTTTAAGTGGAGATGTGAAGAATGAGTGGGAGTTAGTAGGGAAAAAATAAGAGAAGGCTCAGGAGAGAAAATCCTACAGACAAAAAAAAACCATACAAGAAAGCTGAGAGTGGAACAGCTAGAGCAGGAAGAGAGCTGTATAGCTGTAGCGGCCACAGCAAGGGAGGGTGTGGAACAAGAGGAAGCCAGAAAACTCCTGAGTCCCAGTGATCACACAGGGTCTGGTGGGCAATGCAAATGGTTTTGCCTTTTTTTTTTTTGGTAAACAGCAATGTTTTAAGCAGCATTGTTATTCCCTCCTCTATTTTACTGGTAAATATCTTAGGTACTCAAAGAACAAGAGGATCAACAGATAATTAATTTCATTGGATAATCAGGCCTTCTTAGTATAAAGTATTTTACATCAAGGTTAAAGAGTCTACTTACAGTATCAAGAATTTCTTTGGTATGAGCTGCTGACAGGCAAAACCTGGCTCTGGACTCAATAATTGGGGTAGCGGGAAATCCCACCACGACTACTCCAATGTTCCGCTTCAGCATCTCCCGTCCAAAGGCGCTGCAAAGGGAAAGCAAGGAACAGAAACTAGGAAGAGTCGTAATGCATACAGTACTAAGGTATTGCAGGGCTGAATGATCAAAAGTACTGAGAGACAGGCACTGGAGACTTCCATTAGGAATTTCCTTTTCAAGGTAACATGGACAGTTCACAAAGACTTCTCTTACTCAATCCTAGTGGTTGTCTCCCAAATGGTTTCCTTCACAAAAGTATAAGAATATAGTTGGCAGAGACCAATCTTTAATAGGGCTTGCCTAAAGTAATTTGCAATTTTGGCCTTAAAGTGTCCCAGACTTGTAACAGTGGTTTAGAGGCTTCAAAATGAACTACACTTTAAAACCTGGTCCTTGAGATGTTAGGCTTGGCAGTTTAAAAAATTCTTAGGATTATAAGGACACAGAGGATCTGTTGTACCATGGACATCTTCTGCTGGGAGAACGGCTGACTAGCATTAAGCCCCCCTTACCATGCCTTTCTTGACTGATGTAGGCATCAAGCTGCCTTTGAAATTCAGGTTTCCTTTGGTGTTTGTGAAGCTAGCATAGACCCAGGCTTCAGTTGCCCAGCTCTCTTTAACCCCCCACCCCAGGGGCAAATTGGTGGCATGAGATCTTAATCCACTTCTGTACCTTGTGTAAATAACACAGTTCTAATTTTCATGTAAATTCTGTTATATTTACTAAATTATGTTGTCTTTTCCTCTTTTTGACTTAGCTGAATCCTTTTTTACTTTCCCCTTAGCTGTTTAAAGTATTTGTTTGAAAATTTAAAAATCCCACACATTTTAGTTATGTTAGTAACTAATCACATTAGCTTTCCCCACTCCCTCTAGTACCAGGACATGGTCTTCGACGTACTTCCTTTGTGTCAGAAAGAGCCTGAGCGCCCTGCATCTTCGGCTCTTGCTCCCAAACTGTCTAGTGTTTTATTGGAATTCCACCTCACCCTTCCTAAGTTTCAATGATGATGTACACAGTTTCACCAAGGCAGAACAGACACAGTCCTCTCTAAAGAAAGGGTTCCAGACTAAGTCAGTCCTCCAGACCAAATAACTCTTCACGTTTCTCTATGACAATTCCAGTTCAAGAATGAGGAAAATCCTACACCTCTGCCTGGTTCACTTCCACCATTGCCTCTGAAGGTCATATGGCCAATTGCTCATGTGACTTCCGTTGAAAACTGAACTTCTCTTTCTCCCTCAGTGAGCACCTTTGCCCAGTTTCCCCACATTATCATCTCTGGAATCACCACATTTCCAGGTTCCCTGATTGAACTCTCCTTCCTGTTCACTTTCATATCACTGAGTGGCCCCTGAGTGCCAGGGACTGTGGTGGGCACTGGGGATTCAAAGATGAACAAAAACATTTGCTCCTTTAATGTTTCAATGAAACCTCATCCAATTTTATATTTTAAGAGCCCATCAAAACTCCCAAATCTGAACTATTTTACATCTCTGGTGCAACTTTGCATGTGATTATTTTGCAAATAATTATACTGGTTCACTTCATATTTGCTTTTCTAACATCTTCTGGTTTTGTTATACACTGGACACTATTCCAGGACGAGGCTTTCCATTATATATATACCTTGTACAAGGCCAAGAAGTTGTGCAATGTGCACTTCTGTAACTATGCCGTGACACACCATGGCCTCATGGCTCGCCACTCCCCGCCGGGCACTGCACTTCAGCTCCACTCTCCTCCTGGCTATTCTTTTGTTGGCTAAGAATGTTCCTGCCTTCCGGCCTTTGCACAAAAGCTTCTTTCTCCAAGTGGCTCTCTCCGCCACGTGAAGCTCAGATGTCATCTTCTGTTCCCACTGAGGCTCATCCTGACCACCCCATTTAAAACCGTAAACTGCCCCCCCCCAGAGTATGCTCAGTCCCCCATATCTACTCTATATTTCCCATAGCATTAAACACCTTCTAACATAGGACATAATTTACTTATCTGTTATGTTTGTCTGACTCTTGCTCCACTAGAATGTAAGTTCCATGGGAGAAGGATTTTTATTTTTCTGCTTTGTTTGTTGATCTATCTAACCACCCTAGAAGAGTGCATTAAACTCAAATGTTTGTTTAATGAAAGACTAACAAGTTAACATATTTTACAAATTGGAATCCACTAACCTATGGTGTATCTAGCAAATAAAAGTTAAAATAACTGAGGCCAAGACAATTTTCCCTGACAAAATACCTAAGCCTGAGTCTCACATCACGGAAACTTAAGTCTGGAGAGACCAGCTTGTAATTTGCAACAAAACGTACCCGATTTTGGCTGGCATGTAGAGCATCAAAGGCACCACCGGAGAATCTTCATTTCCATAGATGATGAAGCCCATCTCTTTCAGACGTCTCCTGAAATACCTGGTATTTTCAGCTAACTGCTGTATACACTCTTTGCCTGGAAAACCGTGGGAAGAGAAACCAAACACTGCTAAGAAAAAGGACTGAGAAGAGAACACCGCCATCACTCGACCTCCACTCTGTCAGTCAATTCCTGTGGTCTGTTTCTGCCTTTCCAACGTAAAATATTTTTTCACAGCAAGCTTTATGAAATATATTTGCTTTGTGTTCTGTCATACTAGGTTGTTGACAGCAGATTTTATAATAATGCACAACTAATATTTCCACTGCACATTAGCGTCCTCAAACATTTTCATCAATACCATCTCATATAACACTACTATCCCTTTGCAGTAAGTAGGATATTTATTTTCATCTTCATTTTGTAGATCAGGAGACTCTCACAAAGGTGGTGATTGGCTTACAGTCACATGGCAATACGTGGCACAGCTGAGACTAGAATCTAGGTCTCTCAACTTCAATAGTCATTCTAAGTGACTGTGCTGTGAATAATTTTACACCTAAGACCAGAGACAGAGCCATTTAGAACCGCAAATTTTCCTCTCAAGAGTTTGATTTTATTACCATTTCCCTAAAACTCCTGACAGCAATAGCACATCCATAATAATGTTAAAATCATATTTTTAATCCCATTTTGTTCACCTTCCCTATAACACAAATGGATTAAAACATACATTTCTCTAACTGCTAACTGACAAAATGTTTGGCCTGTTTCTGACATTATGATGGGTCAATCTATGAATAGATGTCCAAACAACTGTTCTGTAATAGACAGCAAGCCATAAATTCAAAAAATCAGCTCACAAAGGAACCGTTTCATGGTCTTAACAAGTAAGGAAAGGTCTGCAGAGGGAGAGGTAGAAGAGGGTAAAGGGGACAAATGGTGATAGAAGGAGACTTGACTTGGGGTGGAGAACATATAATACAATATACAGAGGATGTATTAGAGAGTTGCACACTTGAAACCTATACAATTTTATTAACCAATGTCACCCCTACAAATCCAATAAAAAAGAAAAGGTTTGCAGTCATTTTCTGACATATATTAGAAAGTCAGAAAATTAATATTAAAAAAACACAAACATCATACAATTCAAAAGATAAATCAATCAACCAGAAATACAGATGGCTAATACACTGCCTTAGAATTAGAATACTAACATATCTATAGCTGAGGGAAGCTACTCTAGATAAGTCTGCTACAAATAACCCCAAATTAATACTCTTTATGTAAATAATTTTCAGTTGGCCAGAGAATAACACTCAAGCCTAGATTAGCTTAGTGTGAACTCTAATGAACATCACTAAAATTATGACATACGTCTTACAAATAATACAGCAGAACCTTAAAATGTGTTATATTTAAGTATGTTAAGATATGATGAGCCATGTGCCCTAATTTCCCCCTAGAAATAGCAATATATGCTTACTCTATATTTAATAGGCGAGAATTCCACTTCTGGCCATGCTAGCGTACCAGTGACCAGATTTTCTTCCTGTTATAAACAACAGAAAACTGGAGGAAGTATATAAAACAATGGTTTCAGACACAGGCAGTACAAGACTGAGAAAGCTAATGAGAAGTGAGCCTTTGGATTGTCGTCCCTGTACTGCCTAGAGCAGGTCCCAAGCTGCTGCACAGGGCGAGGAGCCTAGGCTTGTCCGTTGAGGACACCGGAGATGGGAGCTGGAGAGGCTAAGGGGGCTAGAGCTTGTTGGGAAGTGCACAGGAGAGGGCGGAGGGGATCTGCAGAAGGTCCCTGGAGCCTTCTGCCGAGTGCTGATCTGCACAAATATGAGAAGAAGCCATCAGGGGCCTGGGAAAGACTCAGTAGAAGGCAGTAGACTGAATAACTCCCGGTGCTCACAGCGCTGGCAATAGTTTATATTTTCACCTACTCAAGTGGAAAGAGCTCAGAAGGGCATCACGCTAATAATGGAGTTTAATTAGCCAGAGATTAAAAGCTGCGCTGGACTCACTCTAAGAAACCTTAAAAGCAAGTCTCAAAAGGATCCAATTGATTCTAAGAACAAATTCCAGAACTACCAAAAGTAACACAACAAAATGCAGCACCCAATAATGTAAAAATTCATAGTATCTGACATATAAAAAAACAATCCACACATTCAGAAAAACAGAAACAAAACGAAAACAAATTCATAGATACAGATAACAGAAAGGTGATTACCAGAGGGGAAGGGGGTGTGTGTGAAGATGAAATGGGTAAAGGAGGTCAAATATATGGTGATGGATGGAACTAGACTTTTGTGATGAGCAGGAAACAGAATATACAGATACCAAATTATAATGCTGCACACCTAAAATTTGTTATTAAGCAGTTACCTCAATGAAAAAATAATTTTAGAAAGTTTAGCCTTGTTAAAAAACTATTAACTCTTAAAAGGTCTTTATTGTTGCCTAGGATCACAGATGGTAACATAAGTCAGCATTCTTTACTTTCCAAACATAAGTCTACTTTTAAGTGTGATAAAAAGCATAAAAGCAACTTGGAGAAAACCTCTACTAATTTCTCCTGAACTTTGCAACTGAACTTCACTCTGTGGCGGTTCCTTTTAGATTTCATCAATATGGTTTGTTAGAATAAAAGCATTTTTAGAATCCCTTCCATAAAAACCCATAGCTTGGCATGAAAGAGAGAAAAGTAAACGCATGTAGTTAACTTCTCAGAGAATGCAGCATATATCTTTAATAAACTTAATGCTCTGGAAGGAAGTAATGAGTATGAAATTATCAATAGTTTGTGATGGAATCATTAGACTTAATTCCTTTAAGGAAACAGAAAGCCTAAAAAGAGTAGAGGACAGAGGTAGAGGAAGCATTGCAATTATCTACCTATTGATAAGCATGGTACAGTGATAAATTCAAATCACTTTTACAAAACAAAATTAGATTTAGAAAACTTTTTATTATCCACTGCCAAATAGATTTTGAAGTTGTACCAACTGCATTTCAGCCATTTTCAAAAGGAATATTTTAATCAAGTCTTAATCCAGAATGCTCAGGATTCTCAGCCATGTAATCTTAAGGTCTGAAGGAACTACTGTATTATTACTGAAATAAAACTCCATAAGCCCACTCAGACAGGTATCAATCAGAACAGGTAGTGTTCTATGAGCTCGCAGGACTGGTACAAAGTAAGGGATACAAAAGGCAGCATTTTGTCCTAAATGGCATTAGTGCTATCTACTCAGAACTTACGCTTCAAAGAATATAGCATGTACTCACCTGCCTAATAGCAATATAACTTTCAATTTAGTTGATGAGCTTTTATATAACATGACATACTCAACAAAATATGTTTGAGTCTGAAACTTCAAAAATAACATTTATGGTGTTAACCGAAATCTTTCAAAATAAAGGACAGAAATATAAATAATTTTCAGCCGGAGTTGCTCCCCTAATTCACATTATACTCCATTACACAGCTCCTAATCTTCTTAGATTTCCTGGATATGCTGATATAATCTGCCTTCCTGGGAAAAATAAAATAAAATTACCGCTACTCTTCAGACTTATACTTTCCAGTGAATTATAATGAGCTGGGAAAATCTGAAATCAAAGCATTTCTTTCCTCTTCTCCCTTTCTTCTTAAAGGTCATTAATCACAAAGCAGGTAAGGGTTTTCTCAATGAAGTTCCCCCAAGTAGAACAGATAGCCCCCCCAAATGGTTTCAGTTCGTTTTCAGCATTAATACAAGTTAAGTGACTTGAGGTGGGGTAAAATATGGAAAAATTCTACCCATTGCCTTGTTCTAACTTATACTACCAAAAAATGTTACATTGTGGATATTTCACATATCTATTTAATTTAATACTTTATGTTTAATAAAGTATTAACTGTTAATCATTTACTTTAATCATCTGTCCAAGGTCTTCTTTTTGCTATGTGGAAAGTTACTTTTTCTAATATATTTCACTTTGGCTGAATTATACTGCAGAGTAAAAAGGAACGTGTTTTACTAATGTGGTTCTTCCCTTCAAAAGCACTTTTTTAAAAACAGATAAGCCTTAGTCCTGGCTGGGTAGCTCTCAGTGAGTTAGAACACTGTCCCAATACACCAAGGTTTCGGGTTCGATCCCCAGTCAGGGCACATACAGGGATCAAACAATGAGTGCATTAATAAGTGGAACCACCAACTGATGTCTCTGTCTCTCTCCCCTTCCTCTCTCTCTAAAATCAATCAATAAAAAAATTTTTTTAAAAGAAAGATATACTGAACTTAAACGTATGCCTACTCTATGACCCAACAATTCCATTCCTAGGTACATATACCCAACAGAATTGTGTACCAAAAGATAGGTATAAGAATGTCATTCTCAGTAACACCCAAAATCAGTAAACAACCCAAATGCCTACCAGCAGAATGCATAAACAGTAATACAGTCAAACAATGGGACACTAGACAGCAATAAACAAATGACTGTTTCATCTAAACATGTGGGTGAAACGCAAAAACATAACGATGAATACAATATGCCAGATTCAAAAGAGGGATTATATGTAAAGTATTGTATGTAAGATTCCATTTACATGAAGTTCAAGAATGGGCAAGACTAATATACGTGACAGAAGTCAAAATACTGGTTTATCTTTGGCAAGGAGGAATGGACTAGAAGAGCACAAGACCGTCTTCTGGGATACTAGAAATATTCTTTATCATGATCAGGTGGTGGTTAGACGGGTGTGTATTCACTGAATTGTATGCCTAAGATTTGTGCACTTTACTGTATGAATGTAAACACTTAAATAAAAAGAAAATTTAAATACTTGGAAAATTAACTGAAGTTAAAAAACTGGAATGAGGTTAAATTTCTGATCTCTCGATTCATAGTCTTAAATATATCCAACTACAATTTAATAATGACCCTTTTACTAAAACAAACAAAAAAACCAAAACAGAACCATATAGATTTTAAAGGGGTGGGCTCAGGCATTCAAAAATTTTGGTGCTGGGTGTTTCAGATTTTTTTTTTTTTTTAATATATCTTTATTGATTTCAGAGAGAGGAAAGGAG